AATCGACTCGAGATCCAAAGCTATACCGTATAAAATATTCAATTTATCTTTCCATTCTAATTGTGATACTTGTACAATATTTTGTCGTAACGAACCTTCCGGTGCAATCTCCATAACAATAACATAATCACCAGAATTATTTCTTGATACTCCAAAACAACTCATGAATGAAGGATTCTCGTAACCGATTTCACAGTAATTCTTCAATTCTTGGATAAATTCTTGCACACTTTTATTTGAATCATGAATCACTTTAAGTGCAACATCTTTCCATGAACTATTAATTCTATCGAACCAACGTGCACTATATACAGTTGCAAATCCTCCTTTTCCCTTTTCCTTCATAATTCTAAGTTCATTATAATCAATCCAAGATAATTTAAATCTCTCATCGTCTAGTATTCTCTTAAGTTCAGGATTTATATGATCTGGTGATTTATTAGTTTTCAAAAGACTTCTATATTTTCTGAACCAATAATTTGCCTCTTGAATATTTCTCTTTGTACCGGTACCGTTTCGATAACATAAAGCAACATTATTCATCGCTGCTCCGTTACCCATATTAGCAGATTTTTGATAGTATTCAAATGCTTTATTATAATCTTGATTAACTTCATCTCCATATTCATAATGAAAACCAACTTTACACATTGCATAAGAATTACCTAAATTAGCAGCTCTATTACAATATTCAAATAATTTATTTCTACTCCAATTCCATAAAAATAACAAAGACTAACATCATTCATTGCAACCGGATTTCCTAACTCTGCTGCTTTCATATAATATTCAAAAGCTTTCTATTCGTTTTTTTTAACACCAACACCATGTTGATAATTGTAGCCAAGTTTACGGAGTTGTTTAGAGTCCATTTTTTTTTAAAGTAAAAAAAAAAAAATTCACACCTAAACTAAATGCAATTTTTATTGTGTAAAATGCAACGGAGGACATGTTTAGTCAAAGTGGTACAAAAGTTACAAAGAAATGTTACGCTTTTTATTAGTTCATTGTTTCTTATATTGTAGCATCAAAATGAAATTTTGTAAACTTTTTATGTTTCTCTGCACGCCTATAATGTAACAAAACCAAATAAAGCTGTAGCCTATTCATTAAGCAAAAATATCCAGCTGATAATTACGTTATAGATGTAGTTGGCTAGTATTGCTTGATGCCAGGCCAGTTCTGATGCTTTCCAACTCAGATTTTTGAGTAAAAAATCTCTCATACAGTATAATTAATTTAGGGAATTGTTAATTTTAATTTTTTTGCTAATTTTTTAAACTTAGTTCGAAGATATCTCTACATCTACCTAACCAAACTCATTGAACATTTTTTATTTCAATTGTAATAAGTAGCAAAATCCAAACAAAAAAAGTTCATCAAATTTGGTTGAGTATATGTTGAGATATCTTCGATACAAGTTTTAAAAAATTTCAAATAAAAGCTGTACCAAAAATTGTTTTTAAACTTTGATCGAAGATATCTCAACACCTGCCTAACCAAATTCGATGAATTTTTTTTTGTTTGAATTCTGCTACATACTACAATTGAAATATAAAAAAAAAAGTTCATCAAATTTAGTTAGGTATTTGTCGAGATATCTTCGATCAAAGATTTGTAAAATTTCAAATATATACCAAATAGAAGCTGCGCCAAGAATTGTTTTTAAACTTTGATCGAATGTATCTCGACAGCTACCTAACTAAATTTAACGAACTTTTTTTTATTCCATTTGTAGAAATTAGCATAATTAAACAAACAAAAAGTTCATCAAATTTGATTAGGTAGATGCCGAGATACCTTCGATAAAAGTTTAAAAACAATCTTTGACGCAGCTTTATTAATTGGTATTTGGTAATTGAACCTAAAAATGCGCGGCAGATCCTCGATTTTGATTGGCTAAAAAAATTAAGCCGGAATTACTCATAATTTTACTAATGAAATCGCAGCCGCCCATTACAGCTGTTTTCATAAATTCTGGGACAACTGATAAAAATTGATCAACCGAATTCGATAAGTTCGATAAGTTTTTGAATTCGCCGAAATTAAATTCCGATAACACCGAATTCAAAAACTTATCGAATTCGGCCGAAATAATTTTTATCAGTTGTCCCAGAATTTATGAAAACAGCTGTAAGTGAAAATTGTTCCTGGGTCAATTTTACCATAATTCGTGCTTATTTTTTAAAAATTTCTATTTTTGTAATGAAAAATTAACAAGTCAATTCCGGCCGGAATTTAGTAAACAATTTTGTAATGCGGACCAAAATTTCGAAGATCTTCGGCTGTTAGTAGTGTTCCGCAGAACCGAACCGGAGACCCGGAACCGAACCCCGGTTCGGATCCGGTCCATGATTTTAGAAAAACCCGGTTCCGGATCTCTAGTTAGACCCGAACCGAAACCAAATAGCGCACGCTGATTGGCTGCATTCCGACGGTTCCAAGTTTTTTCGGTTCTGGGTCTCATTTTGGACCCGACCCGATTTTTCGGAACCGGTCCGTGCGGAACACTAGCTGTTAGCCAATCAAAATCGAGGATCTGCCGCGCATTTTTTGTGCGGGTAAATTATTTGGTATACGTTCGAAATTTTTTAAACCTTTGATCGAAGATATCTCGACACATACTTAACCAAATTTGATGAACTTTTTTTTGTTTGAATTTTGCTACTTTTTACAATTGAAATAAAAAGCGATCATCGAATTTGGTTAGGTAGATGTCGAGATATCTTCGATCAAAGTTTAAAAATTTGCAAACAGCATATATAAGCTAAAAATGACTCCCAGAGATGAAATTATGAAAATTATACTTGATTTAGACTATGGGGAATGCTATTTATTATGTAATTGTTTTTTTATTAATACCATTAAGGCTGGTCAAGTTGATGTTAATGCTGGTAGAAATTGATACATAATTCGGCCTATAAATTAAAATGATCTACATTAACAGGGTGTGGAAATATCAAAGAAGCTATTAAGAATTGAAGCATGCACAATAAGAAGGGGATGCGCAGTTGCTATACGCGCAATAATTGTAACATTGCAATAGTAACTACAGCAGCTGGAAGTGTCGTATAAGCCCCCATAGTAACAGGGCCAGTTTGGAGAGTCTGTGCTCATCAGCATCATCGCGTTTAGAAAGTTTATTAATTTCATTTTCAGAAGATTCCCCTTTGTTTTTAAGTTAACCATTTTGTAAAAACCACTTGAAGATTCTGGATTAGGTTATGCATCACGTCTGGTGCCTTTATTTTTAAGACTTGCCATTTCAACTAAGCTACTTTTATTATCATCAACTGGAGCAGACCAGGCTGAAAACTCCATTAAAAGAACAGAAACAAAGCTGATGTAAACTTTAATGCACTGTTATAATATTTAAATGAGATAGTGGGCAATAGAAAGGCAAGACTCAAGTGTTAGTACAATATGGCGTGAGTGAATTGAAAGGTTAGAGATAGCGATTTTTATATTCAGAAATCCGGAGCTTTCTTAATTCTTCCATTATATGTTTTTGTATTTAGACAACATATAGTTACATTTTTAATGAACACTTGTTTTCTTTTTTTATCAATGTAAAGAGTCATTCGATATATGGCATTGGGGATCCGATCAACTCACCGACAATCACTTCATAGGCACCACATTTTACCGACAATTACTTACTGACAAGTTCATTTCACCAACAGTTTATTTCACCGAAGCTTTTTTACAGACAAAGTAATTCTGATCAATATCATAGGGTCAGATTAGAATTAGAGTTAAAGTTAGTGTAATTTATAAAAGAACTTGTCAGTGAAATAGACATTCTGATATTATCCACTGAAAAACGTAGCCTACATAAAATTAAAGCTCAAAATTAATAACGATATTATGAAGTTAAGCCTTTTTTTATGATAATAAACCACTTAGATGATAAAATTTTTTTATTCTTCTATAATTCATCTATATCCGTATTAGAGCCTTCAAAATTTAAGATGTTGTGAATTACTTTGCTTATTTATAAAATATTATTTTCAGAACTGCCATTCTTACAATAAAATTTTTCAAAGTTCTTATAGAGTAATTACTATGATTCTTGACACTTACGAACAAAAAAAATGCTCAATGTCGCCAGATATAAAATGAAATCTGATAATTTATCATATGTTAGCTACGTTTTTATAACTCACACTAAATCTCAATTGTGCTTCTGCGCTTTAATTATGACGTAGGCTATATGTTTTTATGAGCTTAGGACGATTGATCGCTCTTCGCTGGTACTGTATTTAGATGTAGTGTAACATCAGTATAGTACGTACATAGACGCGAATTCTGAATCGCGACTGTATTTATAGAAATATTCACATTCAATGTTAAATCTTCAGCATGTTATAGATGGATACGGTATATCTATAGATTCAGAATCAAAATAAGTTGATTCTAAATGGTTTTGGATTCCAATATAACTAAAGTGCTGTATTTAAAAGCGAACAAAGAATAATTAAAATTTATTGTACAATATAATAAAGGGGAATTTACAAATAAGGGCCCAGAAGTGAAAATAATTACAAATACGGGCCCAAATTAAAATAATTACATACAAGGGCCTAATTTTTAAAAAATATTGCATATAAGGGCTCAAATCTATTGATGGCTGGAAAATGGACCACAGGCTTGATAGCAAAACCGCAATTATAGAATTATCGATTGTTTTATTATAGACATTTAGAGTTATCTATATGGGCGCTGTTCAGTAGAAAAGGAAGAAATCTCCATTTAGATTTGATCAAAAATTTTGAGAAAATCACGTTTTTGTAGATCACAACAATTACCCGGTGACAAACAATGTAGATCAATTTTTTAAAATATTATTTATATAAGCCATGTGATGTAAACAATTATGTAATGCACGTGATTTTTAATTTTTCACTATGTAAAAAATTGTGTCACACCGGGTCCGTATACAATAAAGTCATATGTAAAACTCAAAAAATTATTAAGCCAGTATAATTTAACTTTTAATTAGAATTATAAATCTGGTTATGCTTTATTTAATGAGCCAATAAAAATTTTTTAGTCAAAAAGTAGATCTCTTCCCTTTCTATTGAACAGCGCCCATATATTGATTATTAGAAAAAAGGGCAAATAAATCACTTTCATACAATATTCATAAAGCTCTCTAAAGCTGAACGAACATCTTCCATATTAAATGTCATGCCAATTCGCAATGTTTACTTGACATCATAGTGGCTTGTTATAACAATAAGCAATTTCTTACAAAGAAAATTAAATTTATTAAATTTAAAAAATTTCTTTTCTCACTTATAATTACTAATTTACAATCGATAGTTACATTTTTTATGCGATGCTTACGTTTCTTATACTATTAAAGATCAAGCCACAGATGTGAATAGCGTCACGGTTATTTTGGGCCCTTATATGTAATTATTTTTAATTTGGGCCCGTATTTGTAATTATTTTTACTTCCGGGCCCTTATTTGTAAATTCCCCTATAATAAAAGTATGCTATCATTATATATTATCTTTTTCGTTTAATGTTTATTTTTCATTTTAAGCACAATCGAAGATTTATTCTCTGTTAATACTTTCGATGTTATCATATGGGACCCCACAGCAAAAGCGGGCATTTGGCCAAAAAATTTTTTTTTATTTTAATTGATTTCTTGAAGAATTAGATTAATAGGAATACAATTTTATAAAATTACAAGATCAAAATTTTTGCCCCAATACCCTTTTGCTGGGTCCCCATATGTAAATAACATACATCGTATACTGAAGTGTTTATATTTTGCATTTGTAAAAATTATTTTCACACCGTCTTTGCAATACAATACCTGTTAGTATAGTAGTAGATGTAAATTATATTTCTTTCCAGCCTCATGTACTGTACATTATAATTTTAGCTAATTTCAAGTTCTTGATATTTAGTATCAAAAATTCTGTTTTCGCACTATACAGTAAATGATATATTGAGATAATATAATCATGGGCAGTTGATGAACTAAAAGTCTCATTCAAGATATTTATTGATCTCGAAATAAAATAATTTTAGTAATATTAAAAATTTTAATTATTTCGTTGTATAAAGTTTTTTAATGCTTTTTTTTAACAAATTCAAAATCATTTATTATAGTGAAAACCAGAGTTACAGCATCTGTTTGCAGTAATTAGAGATTGGAATCGATGACTAATTATTCGATCATCGATCAAAAATTTCGAGCATCGAAATAAGCTTTCATTCGCCGAGTTTTTAATTCGGTTATATCATCGAGCATCAGTGAAAGTTAAAATTTAACTATTTGTTTTGATAATGATAACATAATGATACATTTTTTGATTGAAGTTTAACTGTGTTTTGATAATGTTAACATGATTATATAATTGATAAACTATATATTAAAAATGTAGCTGTAGAAGTACAATTGATAAATGACTCGAAATTTTTTAAAAATTCATCGAACATCGAAATTCTAGAGTTTGTGACCAATCAATGCTCGAAACTCACCGATTACACTCTCTAGGCTGTAATTGAAGTAATTGCTGTATTACTGAAACTTTTAATATAACTTTGATAGACCCAGAATCCGCATGGGCAAGAGTTTCTAACTTAGAAAAGGCGAAACCTAAGTTGAAATATGAAAACTCTTGGATCCTGATGATAAGATAAAACTTAGCAAAATGGGAAATCATTCTTAATATACCCGAAAAGTCAGATATGTATCTGAATTTAAAAGTTTTAAAATTAACAATAAATATCATCTACAGCTTAGCCAATAAAAAGCCCCGGTTAGTCATCATATAACACGATAAGCAAAATCCAAAATGTTTATTTATTTATTTAGTAGATTTCGTCTAATAACTATAGAAGTCCTTTGAAATACTCGTTTTTTTAGGATTGGTCTGTGCGACTGATAACTGTTTAGATTCGGATGTCATTTTTTCAAAAAAAAGGACATTTAACATACTTTTAACCTATAAATAAATACATAGATAACATAGTTTCTACTATTTGATTTAGATACAAGTTAAAAATGGCATTCTTATGAAATGTTGCATTGTTAAGTTGATTAACATATTGGTAGTCCTCAATCATTCTTAAATTTAAAATTTTATTTTATAGAAGTTAATGTAAATAAATGGCTTCGAGGAATGTTTGAGACAGATATTCAAAAAAAAAAAGATAAAATTTCTTACAAAAAAACAAACCATTAAAACACAAATAATGAAAATATTAAGATAAAATTTATAGAAGAAGATATTTATCTCTATACAGTATAATGAAATTAATATTGTAGAAAATTTTGATTACTAAAAAACAAATTGCTATAATTGCACCTTTTTAAGTACATGTTACATATTTTATATAATATTAATTTGAGAATCTGCTCGAGATTTCTACTTTACTAATATTCGGAAAAAATTTTCGTATCATATATCTTGCTAGTATACATATTTTGTGGATGTAGTTACTTAACCGGTTCTGGTTTAATCTAAAATTGTTTTTTGATTTCATTATCATCGTCCTGATCCATTTCCTCCAACCATTGAGCGATTATATCATTTTCAGTAGGTCGTTTATCAAAATCTTTATCAATACATTTCATATAAAATATAGCAATCAGGTCCTAAACATTTAGGTCTTGATCCACCGATAATTTTTGATACAAAATCATCATTAGACGGAATTCCATCAAATGCTTTTTATCTGGTCGAAATCTCTGCCGCGATAACTTCAAGGCTATAAATATCTGATACGGTCGACTCACCAAAATCTCAGGTGCAATATACGGCAGAATTCCACAAATTTTTCCTTCCTTTACTTTCTTAGAAAGACCAAGATCAGTAATATATACATGATGCAGATTATCTCCTTGCAAAATATTTCCGCTGTGTAAGTCTCTGTGTATGAGCTCCTGTGAATGAATCGATTCAAAGCCCAAAGCGACACAGTACAACATATTTAATTTATCTATCCATTCTAATTGTGATACTTGTGCAAGTAGCGAACCTTTTGTGCAATCTCCATAACAATAATCTAATCACCATAATTATTTCTTGACATCCAAAACAATTCAAGAAAGAAGGATTCTCATAACCAATCTCATCAATTCTTGAATTAATTCTTGCTCATTTTTGGTTGTATCGTGAATCACATTAAGTGCAACATACCTCAAATTTTCATTAGCTTTATCATACCAATGTGCGGAATAAACAGTTGAAAATCCTCCATTTCCATTTTCCTTAATATTTCTGAACTCATTATAATCAATCCAAGATAATTTAAATCTCTCATCGTTTAATATTCTTAAGTTCAGGATCGCTAT